AGGCTCCTGTTACCTTAAACCATAGAAGGGGACCATCTGAACAAATGCTCGAGTTTGACTGTCAGATTCTTAGATGTGTCACATTTTTTTCTGTAGAGCTTTGGGCTGTTGTAACAGCTGTTTGTAAACACCGCAAATCCAACATTAGCCCAGGAAAGGAGGAAGGTATCTGTGTCCCTCACCCCTTATTCTTCTCAACGTCTTTCTTCCTGCTCTGTGATTTTAAAATATTGCAGATATGCTGACACTTCTGCTGTTGATTTAAATAGCAACTAGTCTAATCTTCCCACTGAGCAACCAATTGGCAGGCTCTATCTTTGACTCCTTCTGTGTCAGGTGACTCATCAGCATGTCTGAGAATGTCTATTAGACTGCCAACCCCGGTCAGACAAACACAACAGTCAATTAGAAAAGTATTTGGGAGATGTCGGAATTCTGGCTCTGTCCATTCTGGTGATGAACAAATATATTCATAAAGGTGTTAGCATGTGCTGAGTCCCAATGAGGTGTACAGGGTGATAGTGCTGAATGCCCTTGGCATTACTTTTCCATAACACTAGGCTGAAACAGTGAGGAGAAGGAAAGAATTTCAAAATAGACACACTCATACCTCCATCTTTGTAATGAGCTGACAGTCAGATGCAAGACTGAAACAGGAATTTGACAATGAGCACTCACACTTTACATTGTGGGTGTCCTTTGTGGGATTGCGCGCGGTGCTACAGTTCCCAGGGAGCTTAATGGCAAACAGGGGCTGGCCTGCCTCTCAGTGTTATTATTTGGAAGTTCAGGCCCAGCCTCAGTAGTCAAGTTGCTCAGGCGATTCACCCACCCTACCCTCCCTTAGTTTAATGTTTTCTTGTTTGCAGGTGAACTTTTTCTTCCTGTTCAGCGGGTGCTGCTACATTCTTTGACCGGTTGCTGTTGAAGGATCGGGAATAATTTTTCCTGTATTGGCAGGTTTTGTCTTTCCCGTAGCAATTCATCACAACTTTGGTGGTTTATGGCCTTGGGTGGAATCCTTTAGCCTTTTCTTCCTTATAATGAGGGTGGAGGTGGGGCATGAAGTGATGACTCACCCCCCTGTGGTGGCAATTCCAGGGTCCCCTCTTAAAAGTGGTTATATAATGGGTGTCAATGGCCATACACTGAAAAGTTGTCAGTGAACTACCCTGTGTGTGGGGATATGGGCTGGGCTGCCTGTGTACACATATGTCTCGCAGTGTACCCCCATATCCCATTTACCCTGATGTGCCCCAGTTCCCCCGGCTGGAGGGCTGGGAAGGATACATGCCCAAGGTCTAAGCCAAGGTCTTCCTACATTCGGAAGTTTAATAAAGTTGTGGCCTAATTTTAATTCCATAACACGTTTTCAGAGTCTTTATTCCTTTCTTGTGATCCCTGGGGGCTGGGGCTGTCGCGGCCTGGTCACACAAAGCACCCTGAGTCGTTGGCTACATGCACACTAACTCATTTATAGTACAAAAAATATTATTTTTTCCTCATTCCAGAATCGTTTATGCTCATCCTCAACATGCTGATTTCAATCTAGATTGATTCTAGATCTTGCCATCCATAAGGATACATTTGGTTACTTGAGACACATTTGAAAACTTTCCTCTTTATTAGGTTATCCATGCCTTTTGCTTCCTGTACATGCCCCAGGTGAATGATGAAGGAAATGTGGATTGTGATGTTGATATACATCCACACACAGTGTCAATTGTCAGGTGTGTTGTTCATGTCTATAACCTCATAACAGAGAATCTGTATCTGGGCAGCTGTGGATACACACACAACCTCATTGCCAAGGCTTCCTACATCTGTTTTCAAATAGACACACTGTGGCATATTCTAGAATTATTCCACAATGAGCTTTTATTTCCAGAATAATACCAGTTTCTCAAGAAGCGCTTTTCAGGGGCATAAAAATATACAACAAATAAAGATTGTGTGCGGACGATGTAGAAAAAAGTACTGAGTTTCCATTGATTTGAGAATAACATGTTGTCTGTCCATTACCTTAAAATGGCACTTGAACTTTGAATACTAGGTATAGTAGGGCAGAACTGTTTATTCCGATATATTCTAAATCTCCTAGCATTTTAGAAAAAATGGAAAATTCTCAATCTTGGCAGCTCTCTTCAGGCACTGCAGCAAACGCCCGAGGGCTTAAACTGAGGAAGTGCATTCAGAGGTGGGAAAAGGGCTTTATAGTCACCTATTTTCTCAGGTGCCCATTGTCATTTCCTCAGACCTTGAAGCGGGGGGAACAGGAGGTATGGGAAACTTGGAGGTGGAAGAATGTTGTTCTTAATTTATTTAAATATTAATCATTTGCTTTCTTTTTTCTGTATTTGCATTTATACCCTTACATTTATATCCTGTCTTCCAACATGGAACCCAAGGTGGTGTGCATGAGGTTCTTAGGCATGTGTCTAGGCATTGACAAGATCCAGACTTGCTTAGCTTCAGCAAAGTGGTCGCTTCATGTGCCATACCCTCAGGTAAAGTCCAGAGTGTGATAGGCAGCTGTTATTCCAGCATAGACTCATTGAATTGTAGAGTTGAAAGGGACCCCTTGCAATGCAGAAATCTCAGCTAAAGCATCAATGACAGATGGCCATCCAACCTCTGCTTAGAAACCTCCAATGAAATGAATAGCACATATAAAAAAGTGTATGCTATTGAAAATAATATGTACCAATGCATTGTTATTGGGGGGGATTGCTTGGGGAAAATGCATACACAAGGCAAAATGACAAACAAAAAACACACAGAAATTTTCATGTGGATTTTTTTTAAAAAGAAGTGTATGCAGAAATGAGATGAACCAAAATTAGTCAAACAGAGAGAAACTGAAACAGACAAATTCATCCATTCCTAATTACAAAGTGAATTACAAATTCAGTTGTTTCACTGACTGAGTCAGATATTAAATGGAAGCATAGCACCAGAACACAAAGGCAGGCAGAGACACACACACAGAGTTTTTCACAGCTAGAGCTGAAATGAGAAAGAAGCTAGGTGAGGGATAGGATTTTGAGATGGCAGTTTTGGAACTGAAGGTCGGAGACTACACCCAAATTAATCCCAATCATAAACTAATCAAGAGATGTTGCCCCGTCTTTGAAAAACAAAACAAAATGAAAACAGCTTTACATATGAGTATAGTCGTTCACTGACAGCCTGATCAACATGGTTTCCTGTGCTTAATTCCCATGCTTAATGAATTCAGATGCCACCAGCTGGTCTTAAAAAATCCCATTGTTTAAATAAATAAGAGAAAAAGAGAGAGCTATGAGCTGGTAAGAAATAATAAATACAAATCATGTTGGGTCAGCAAACACAATTATCAATCAATGGTTCAATTCAGATATCATGCCAAATCATGGTTTGTGAAGACAAACCATTGTTTCATCTTTCAGCAAGCAAATCATGAATTGCAGCTGCTTGTCCTCTTCCATTTTCCCTCTGCTTAGCACTCAAATGTTTACGTACTGTGGCCTCAAGAGGCGGAGCAACAACCATAATGATTCATCATGTCAGAGATCAAAGGAAATGAAAGAACTACATTTCCAAAGCATGTTTTTGACTCTGATCTACCAGCCTTTTGCTGACCATAGATTTTTCACTTCATGCATCATTCGAACCCAGAAGTTGTTATGTTCCAACCTGCATCGGCCCTGTCAACATGACCAGTGGTTAGCAGTGAGGTGTTGTCCATCTTTGGAGGGTCACAGGTTTCCTAACCCAGCTGCAAATGATAGCTAAGCTTTCTTATCCAGAATATGGAGCGAGGTTTGAATTGAGCTAAATCCTCCTTTGATTACACATATGTAAATTGATTACTTTGATTACTCCAGTATTTGCTGTACTTGTAATGACTGATTCCTTGCGTCCTTTTCTAAAGCAATTGCAGGAGCATCTAATAACGTTTATTACATACTGAACGATAGGCAGTATAATGATTCATGCACCACACACCATCTTAGTCCCAATGATTCTTTCTGTGTATTATGTGAGGGTTTTTTTGTTTTTGTTTTTTTACTATATTCCCCTTTTCAACATGAATCACAAGTATTATTCTTTTAAACATACAATCTGTCCTCTTTAACTCCTTGCAACCCCCACAGGGAAAGTGTTTGGAAAACCACACAAATCTCAAAATAACAATATAAAATTAGAACTCAAAATGCTGTGACCCTCCACATTTTCCTTCAACATATTGGAGCCCACCTACAGTAGCTATTTTGGTTCAGCAGAAACTGAACTGCAGCCATGCTGCCAAGACTACAGTGAGTAGGATAATTACGAAAAGTGTAGGGGTTGTTGATTTTTATTGTGTCTGAACAGCATTCGAAACCAAATGGCTCAGCACAATCATTATCTTGGTGGGTGACAGCCCACTCCACAATCCATTTAAACCAAAGGTCTTGGATTTAGAAGCTGAATAAGAATCACTGGAGTCAATGGGACTTCAGCTAATCTAATGAAGGCCACGAGACTTCAATGGAACTGAACACAGAAGTCAGCTGAATCATTTCCCTCCAACATCAGCCATGATTTCTCATGCTGCTGCTGAACCTGCAGTCGGAAGGCATGCTATTTGAGTTCATAATTCAGAAAGCTAGTTTGTCAGGTGTATGAGATAATCCTCGATAAAATGAAACCACAGGGTGGGTGGGGAAGATCAACACCCATGAGGTGGGGGGGTGGGGGTTTTCTTTTAGCAGGAGAAAATAAGATTAATAAAATGGAAATGGTCCTAATTTTTTAACATTTAACAATTGCTGGTGTTTTGAGAGCTGCTGCTTTACTGTGAGTTCACATTCGGTGCATATCATGAATGCCTCTATTTATTCCAAGATTAAATCTTTCACCAATTAACCATTCAATTTAAAGCTTGTAAGCCTAATAAAACTAGGTTACATTTACTTACCAAGTTGACCTCAGAAGACCAGATTAGGGGGCATGCAGATCTATAAACTAGGCATAAGGGAGAGGGTGATAGCTCAGTGGTAGAGCATCTGTTTTGCATGCAAAAAAATTCAGGTTCAATCCCAGACATTTCCAGGTACGACCGGGAAGCCTGTCTGAGAGCCACCATTAGTCAGTGTTGTTAATAGTGAGCTTGATAGACTTTTGGTCTGACATAGGCTGTATACACACAACACATTTAAAGCACATGACTTCCCCCAAGGAATCCTGGGAACCATGGGTATCTGCAAAAATAAAACTAAAAAGTGGGGGCAAGGTCTATGCCTTTTAACTACAGGCTGCTGACTTAACTACTTGCAGTCTTTACACAGCATTGTAAAGTCCAGCATTGTGTTAGTTGGTAAAATTTTAACACATCTGATAGAAGATTTGCTTATGGTATATATTTCCCTATATCCAGCGCTTCCTGTCATTCAGGTTGTACAGCCCTGATAGCTGCCTCCGTCATTGCGTGGCAATTCCCACCCCCCGCCAGTTGGAATAAATAAAGATACACGACACAAATATTTTAGGTTAATGGGCGAAAAATGGCCACAACTTTATTGGTTACAGGTAAGAGTGGTATTGGCTTTAGGCATTGGTCCTATCAGACTATCCGGTATGAGAACCGGTAAGGGTTAACTCCATCAGGGGGAGCCCCTGAGATGCACATCCCTAGGCACTCCCCGAGGGGTCACCGATCGGGGGTGCGCTTTACACCCTAGCCTCCATAGGTTTCGGACAAGGCAATGCCCCCTGGAATCCTTTATCAGACTACCCTTAAATATTTGGGGGAGGTGATGGCGCTCCTCCCCCCCGACTCATCTGCATAACAATGCCCCTACCAATGCTTAACCGCCAGACCAAAGGCGTTGTGACGATTTGCTACGAGGTAGGCGAAAAAACCATATGGCTTTTAAATCAATGCCAATTAGCCAAGTGGAAAAATTCCTACCAGGCCCCTTGCGGTGACCAACCGAGGTCCATAGCAAAATCTGAGGAAAACCTAGAGGGAGGGTGGGTGGGAAACCGCAGCTGGGGCAAGGGAAGGAAAGGGGCGATCCCGGGCCACGCCGACCTTAAGTGGCCCAAGCCCCGCCCCCTGCAGCCAGCTGATTGGCTGGCCCTGGGGCTGATGCAGCCCGAGGATTCCCCAGGTCGCGCGGGACCACAGCCAGCCCCACGCGGATGTTGGTGGGCGTGAGTCCGCAACCCCCCTCCTTATGTCGGGAGTGGCTTTTCAGTTGGGACATTCTCATCCCCTCCCGCTGGGTCATATTATGTATGTGCTCAGTGCTCACTAGCTGTCTTCTGCTTTTTGAAGTACAGTGGTGCCCCGCAAGACGAATGCCTCGCAAGACGAAAAACTCGCTAGACGAAAGAGTTTTCCGTTTTTTGAGTCGTTCTGCAAGACGAATTTCCCTATGGGCTTGCTTTGCAAGACGAAACGTCTTGCGAGTTCTTGCGAGTTTGTTTCCTTTTTCTTAAAGCCGCTAAGCCGCTAAGCCTTTAATAGCTGCTAAGCCGCTAAGCCGTTAATAGCCGCTAAGCCGCTAAGCCGTTAATAGCCGCTAAGCCGCTAATCCGCTAATAGCCGTGCTTCGCAAGACGAAAAAACCGCAAGACGAAGAGACTCGCGGAACGGATTAATTTCGTCTTGCAAGGCACCACTGTAATTGCATATATCCTTAGCTAAACAAATGGAAATGGATCTGCTTCTTTGTCTTGTTTCTTTAGCAACCTTGTGCCTTCTTTTCAACCTTCAACCAAACGACTAGCACTAAGTTTCTGCTTGCCAAGAAAATGATTTCTGCAACTCATTTCCTGAGAGCCTTGTCAGCAATTTTGGTTTCTGTTCCGCCGGGTTACTTTTGGTTTCTATTCTTGGCCTCTGCCCCTCAAAAAGAAGGGTTGTGTCCAGCAGCAAGTACCTCACTATTCACAAAAATCTACCACCACACATTGGCTTATATTATCATTGTATTTCTAGGGTTTCCAAATCTTGTTACATTTTCAGAAGCAGCACCCTTAGATCGGTACAGGCGGCATTTACCTGAGCCGCCTTCTGACCCAGGAAGATTTTCCTCCAGAAAAGTCCAGGTTTGGTAGCCCCTCAGTAGAAGAAGTCTCAGAAATCACTCTAAAGGTCTTGTTGACTAGCTGACACCCAGGCTAAGAACTGCATTTTATCCCTCACCAGAGATGAAATTCCTAACACCCTTAGCAAACTACAATTCCCAGGATTCTTTGCGGTAAGTCATGTGCTTTTAATGTGCTTCAGAAGGTATGGTGTGTACACAGCCTCAGTATATGGCAGCTTCCTACGAGCTACATTTTTAGACAACCCATGGAACCATGCCCTCTAGCAAAGTCTGATATGGAAGCTTCCATATTCTTTTAGGAGCACGGAAGAGCTTCTCACAGCTGCAACTCCAAATAAATATTATTGTTCTTTTGCCAATTTAAATCCAGCAAAGGCACTTATATACACACACAAACAGAGAGAGAGAGACAAGCCCAAATGAGTCCATACAGGCACTCACACAGTGAGTGGGCAATTCTCTTGCAGACGACATGGCAAATGTCACTTAGGAAGACTATGAGCCAATAATAGCCATATACCCTTCCAACAGCAGGCCTCTCTGTCAGTTAAACTTCGTAATCTCCCAGAATACACCACAACACCCCCACACACTTTCCTTTCTGAAATTCTCCAGATAGTTGTCCATCTGCCAAGAAAGCCTGGTCCAAATAAATAAAGGCCACGCTGGATATCTGCAGAATGCAGATGCAGTTCTTTAACTTCAGTCAAATCTAGAGACATCCTGGTGAACTTGAAAGAATGAATATGCAAGAACCCATTATCAGTGATAATTGTGACAGCAGCCCCCCCTACAAACACACACAAACATTGTAGCTATTCTGACCATTATGTTTTTGTTTTGTTTTTCACCTGAAGATGATGGATGAAATATTAAAAGGTGCACTTAAGGTACATTCTTCAGATATAGGTTGAACTGTCAGGTAAGCAAACCAAGAAATCAAACACTGACTCAAGCTGGTGTTTTCACCCCAAAGTAATTGAGCCTTCAAAAGAAATGCCTTTTCCGCATACTGCCCTTTTCCAAGGGGGGAAAAAACATATTGGGGAGTATGATCTCCCTCAATGATGGAAGAGGTTTGCTTGGCACTCCTCTTTTCAAGATCACAGGAATTAAAACATGGTCAGTGTAGAGATAATGACGGGGCTTTTTGGTTGCTGGCAGCAAAGATGGTGACTAATGCCTGCCTCACAGGAAGATGAACAAGAATGATTGCACAGTCAAACCCTCAGCTTCAGATTATCTCCTCATCTCATCCCTCTCAATTGTCCTGCCCTTCCCGTTCTCAAGCACCTAGCAGCACTTTGATAATTTTCCCCACTCAAAGAAAGTGAGGGTGGGGCAGTGAAGAAGGAAGGTGTGAATGAGCCTGGAAGGGGCACCCCAGGAGTGAGAGAGCACACTTTTATATTTTGATGTGTCGTACCTCTTGAGTCCAGTGCAAATATGACTCACATTACATGGGGATATTTGAAAAAAAATGCTTCTGTGTGGAAGCTCTCCACTTGGTGAGGCATCATATTTGTCCTGGGCTTACCACACAAGTCATCTCAGCCACATGAAATGGCTACTTCATTGCTGCATTCCCCGCTGGCAGCTGCAGTAGAGACATTTCACCAAATTCTTTGACTTACACATCAAGTACATTGCAAAAAGTTTTATTTGCTGGAGCACCATAACACAACAACACTACTTAGATTCTTCACTGTGGACTGAGTAATATTTGAATTGGCCCAGCGACTTAATGAATCTGGTTTTATCTTTTTGTAAACTGCTTTGAGATTCCCCCCCCAAAAAACAACAACAACAATAAAAGCAGTGTATAATTTTTTTAAAAGAAATATTGAGTTGTTGTTTTTTCAAATAAAGGGTGGCAAACTCTGAAATTATACCAAATTGTTGCTCAGCGCAGTAGATACTCTTCTATTCAAGTATCTGAAGGGCTGTCACATGGAAGATAGAACAAGCTTGTTTTGTGGGGGCCCAGAAAGTAGGCTCCGAACCAATGGAATCAAATTGCAAGGAGATTCCAACTAAACATCTGGAAGAACTTTCTGACAGTAAGAGCTGTTTGACAATGTTTGACTACCTTGGACTCTTCTTCATTGGAGGCTTTTAAACATAACATACTGAACATTGTGCAATGTGTTCCACAAACCAATCTCGAAAAAGCTGTTGCCCCAGTGTCAGTCCTCTGCTTGTATTCTGTTTACCCTCACACAGAACACATTGATTCTGACTTTCATTACAGAGGACTCCCCAGTTTCTTGCCACCTGGGGGGTGGGTAGCTTCACAGGGTAGAATAAGATTCTATCCTTCTATAAGAGCAGTTCAACAATGTATTGAACCAATTACTGGGGTGGAGGACACACTCCAGGTCTGCATTTCGTGCATCAAACCACTGTGTGTGTGTACTAAATGGCCTACAAGTTTGCCCTCCATTCTATTATTCTAAGAGGCCCAAGCACAACCCAAGTCACCCTTGGCAGCAATAGGCCTCCCCTTTCCTTTCTGAGCCCTTTAAGTGCCGAGCGGGCTGCGATGTCCTCACTCTGCTGCTAGTGCAACCTGAGGGAGTCTTGCCCACTTGTGGTAGGCTGCCTCCTAGCTTCCATAAGTGCACCAAGCTACTGGGCCTGTCACTAATTCCTCACATCACAATGGAGGCCTCCAGCATAAAGTGAAGGATGCCGCAGGTAACATGGTGCCTATCTCTCAAGTAATTCCAAAAGAAGCCTAAATCCTGCCAAAAAGCATAAAGATTCAAGTTCTGGGCCCACATTTGATATACTTTCATCAAAGCTTTGGTTTCAACCCAGATTTAAATCTGTTCCATCTTCTAGCTTGGCAGTGTGAGTATGTGTTGGTATTTATTGTTGTTTGCATGGGCCTTTACCTCCTTTCCTCCTCTCCCCTCTGTACAGCTCTTTGTATTAGTCAGAAATATACATATCATAACAAGAATAGGCTGGATTTCCTACACTGCTTGCAGATTACGCATCCATGAAGTGCCAAGGAAATGCCTTCACTTACGAACAAGCTTGACCTTTGGTCCGTCATAATTTCCTCTCTTTTTTGGATCATTTTACTGAGAACGTACTGCCTGAATGTATTTCATAAACTGATATGAATTTGATCTTCCTCACCCCACCGTTTCCTATGAAGCTGGTGATGGTTTAGCTTTGATAGCAGCAGGTGGTAATCCAATGTGACTTGGATTTCCTAAAGCAATAACTTTTGGCAGCTTCACTCCTCATTGTGAGGATGCATTTCTATTTTTGGCCATACCTTGTGGCAGAGCCATAAATATAGAAAGCCTAATGGACAAAGGATTTTTTTTTTAAGTTGCATGGCACGAACCCCATTTTCTTTATTAGAGAACAAAAGAAGGAATCCTAATGCACTTTTTTAACGCACCACGTGTATTTCAAATGTAGCACACTGTTGTTTAAATAGAAAAATTATATATGAGGATCCTGCAGAAACAAAGTATTTTGCAGTGCAGACTGCTCCCTGTTCAGCTGGCCAGTTTTGCCCTGACCCAAGATCCTCAATTCCATTTTCTCCTCCCAGTCTTCTCTCTCTCCCTTCCCTCCACAGTCAGACTGTGTACACACCATGGATTTAAAATACACAACTTTCCCCAAAGAACCTTGGGAACTGCGGTTTGTCCCTCACAGGGCAACAATTACAAGCACCCTTAGTAAATGCCAGTTCCCATGATTCTTTGGTAGAAGCCATGTGCTTTAAATTTATGGTGGGCACACATCCTCAGTCAGCATGTCCAGTTCTCATTAGACTGTTTTTGGGGCTCCTCACCCTTAGGGTTCCCCCCTAAATATGTTTTGTACTTCTGCAAATCTTGGAGTTCCTCAAGCATGCTGAAACTCTGTGTGTGTGTGTGTGTGTGTGTGTGTGTGTGTACGTTGCCACTTCCTCCTTGCAGAATGGAAAAGATAATGCAATCTGCTGCAGAAGTTACTGTGAAATGAATTTATACTTTTACTACCCTTTGATGAAGACTGTAATCTGAAACATCTGGATCGAAGGAGGATCAGTGCAATGGAAGGTCATGGGCCTCCCTATAAATTGGCTGTTACTTTCTTTTCATATATATAAAAAAGATACTTTATAACTCTTTATAAAAAAAAGGTTTGTTAGCTCTTGGGTATTGCAATGAAGAATGCGTTTGGAATGTCTTTCTACATGACTACTGTTGCATGCGACCCCAATCTCTCAGTGGTGCAAGATTCCAGGATACCTGGTACTTACCTAGGGTTTGTGTTTTCTTTTGGGAATGAGGCAAAGTGGTGACTGTGGTTTCTTTATGACATATGGTTTATTCACACACATAAACAAGTTGAGCCTACGATGGAGGGGTTCACAGTATGAACACCTCAATGGGGTCGTGTTTCTCCCACAGTCACAGGCTACTGCTCTCAAATATTGTTCTTGCTCTTGCTCAGCCTCCAGCTTGTTGCTTTACTTCTAGATCACATCCCTGCTTCCCCAATATTTTGAGCTCGCCTACCCATTTGCCATCTTGTACCCTATTGCCCCTTAACTCCCCCTTAATGACTCATCACCCAGGTTATCACCTCACCAGGAGGCTACCCTGGCTATTCCAAGAATTAGAAGCCTTGATTAAATTACAACACTTGCTGGATCCAGGGATTACAGGGGTCTGGCACTCATCTTAACATAACACTGTGCTCACACAGAACAAGACATCTGTCCCCAAATCTACAAACAGCCAAAATACAGCTTTCTTGTTAGCAAAGGCATTATAACACATGTCATCAAAAAATGATAATAAAATACAATTGCATTTTTAACCCAGCACCAGCACAGTAACAGCTTATTCCTTTCTAACAAGTTCCAGTAAATCAGAATCTCTTCAGGCCTCCCTCTTTCTCTTTGGTGCACAATCCCAGTCTGTTTTGTATCCTAAAGCAGTTTACTCAGTCTCCCACATTTGGCAGCCCCAAAATGTTGAATTTTGACATGTTTAACCCGGGATGCAAGCCTCTGTACCAGAGCTGTGTTATTCACAGACTTTGTTTATTCTTTCCTTTGTGCTAATGCAGCACAAAGCAACTTACAAACAAACACATAGTTACCTGAACCATTCCTAAAAACAGTTCCCATCATCACAAACAAGCAAGAAGTACAAATCAACAGCATTTCAAAAACCATTGCCAAAACTTGCAGGAAATGTCCCTGCAGCAAATAAGCAAACAGTCCCAAAAAGCACAACCCTGTTCTAAAAACTGCAATACATTTTGTATAGCCACTGCAATTTTCAGTCAAGGATTTGGACTTCTACGGTGATAATATTCTGCTCGCATTCCACTTTTTGCAAACAAACAAATAAACTAATCCCCCCCCCCTTTTCTGGTAGCACCTTAGAGACCAACTAAGTTTGTCATTGGTATGAGCTTTTGTGTGCATGCACACTTCTTCTGAGAAGTGTGCATGCACACAAAAGCTCATACCAATAACAAACTTAGTTAGTCTCTAAGGTGCTACTGGAAGGGGGGGGGGAATTATTTTGTTTTGACTACAGGAGAACACGGCTACCTACCTGTAAATAAAATAAAGTGTGGCACATCAAGTTTGGTGGAACAACCAGAAATCTCTCAGGACTCTCACAAAACTTCAATCTCCAAAATATCTTGGAGAAGTTTAAGAATAACTAAATCAGCCTAAATGGTTAGATTTGTAGTGTTCCATATCAAGAAAAATCAGGATAATATATTCTGTAAAGAATTTAAAATGGCTACCCCTTACATTATTATCCCCCTTAAAAAGTATTATTCTTCAAAACTATACATGCAGAATTAACATATTTCATGTATTTTGATACTGAGGAAAACTAGACATTAGTGGTTCATTTACAGCACATTCCTACACGTGTCTTCTCTGAAGTGTTTAAGAGTGCAGCCCTAATGTATTTAACAGTGATAAATAAAGATATAGTGCAAATGAACCTCAAATACTTTCCGAGCAATATCCTGTAAGAGTATGATTCCTAAAAAGCAGCTTCCTATTGAGTGGAGAAAGTAGTATGAGGGATCTGTGTTATTCTAAATAATAGCACAGGAAGGGGTGAGTGGAACAGAAACCAAGAAAATATAGCTTTTTAAAAAAAAAACACACCATCAAATCTTTGGGCTTTATTTGGGTTGATGAGCACTCATAGAACTCAGACACTGTACATGTATGAGTCCTTTTATTAATATTGTGAGGTATTATGTCATTCTAGCTGGGAATTGTTTAAATACTCCTGGTTGCATAGGAACTGGGTTTCCATAAAGTGAACTTTCACATAAGCAGTGAACTTTAATTTTCACATCATAAAATAACCTATATGTCATGAATTGCCAACTCACATCATAGTTCCCTATACACTGCTAAAAAAAAAGTGGCACTTCCATTTCTGCAATGGGGAGCCTCAGGTTACATCCATTCCCTACTCTAACCACAACTCATTGTTGTTCAAGTCAGTCCCCCAAACCCTTGAGAATGGCTTTTCCAAGGATGAAAAGTCCTGCAGTGTAAAGGGAAAAAGATGGGAAAATTCCGTTGCATGGATCTCTCTAGATCCAAGCTAGTCTTCCCCTTTGTAGATGTGTTAATCTAGAACACACTGACTTTAGTCAGAGAATCAGTAGGGAGTACCTGCTGGGAAGTTTCTGCCTCTGCACATGAATCTGGGAATGTTCTGATCAGTTCACATTGAGTTCATGAAACAGTGTACCCTGTCCTGTTCTTAACGCATTGTTGACCACATCTACGAAATGCGATAGTTATGTTCTTTCATGTCATGCAATAGCAGTCACTAGTAATAGTTTAAGTCTTGATAATCAATCACTAGTTAATAGTTTAATAAGGAGGTTTCACGCCTGTCCAATTCTGTGTCCCCTTTCCCAACCTTTAATCCATTGATGATTAATGCCTATATTCAACCTTTGCATTGTATTCATGTTAACCAATCAGCAACAAGCACATATGTGGTAATGCTGTAATATTCAATAAAAGGGACTCCCCGAGACTTGCTCGGGAGATGCCTCCCATATGACACTTGCCACTCATCTGTCGTTTATTTCAACCCAACAAGTACCATTTATCCTTGCTTATTTAATTATTTATTCAACTGAATAAGGCCCCAGAGCAGTTTTCGAATATCTGCAACAGGGCAGTCCTTGCTCTACAGTCTAAAAGACATGACACGGAAGGAAGTGAGACTGGGAAGGAGGAGGGGAAAAGCAAACTCAAACACGACTTCTTAGCTACAGAGTTTTTATGACGTCCTGCTGGAATGGAAATAATTCAAGGGAAAGAAGAACCTAAAGTATCTGGTCTCTTAGCAGAGCTCATGGAGAGGGCCTTCATTCCTGTTTCTCCCTCCATTATAGTCTGATGGAATGGCTCCAACTGGAGGACACCTATCCTCAACTTTGTATGGACTGTTATCAAACTTTCACCATATTCACATGTGCCCCAGGTTGTGACCCTCACCAAAAAGATGTTGCTTATTGTGAAGATTAACAAAAGTGAACCATGACAGATCAAAAGGATAAATGACAGGATTAAAAGCCTTATCTGAGAATAACATCCTGTCTATTGCTAAGATGAATATTTCTAGCCTCTTACACCATGGGCTAGAACTCATTTGCCAAGTTCAACATGTGGAGCAGTGAGGTGATTTTATCTAAAAGTGTAGAGATTCAAAGCACGAACCCTGAGCAATAGATCAAAGGCAACAGCTTTCACTGCACCAATATATTAATTAGAAGTGTGAGCATTTTCTGGAGCACAGGTGTAATATCTGTATCCAAGATGGACCACTAACTAAGCAGTGTCTTGTGCAGCCTTTCAGGCAATAAATATAACAACTCAACTCGGGAAGGCCAACGAATGACAAATGCCTGCAAACAATGAGAGAACATCCGTATTTTCATTGAGTGCATTCTCCTTTTCTGAATTATTTGCTGATCTCACAAATTCTGCTTTTGAACATGCAATAAACTCAGTCATGTTAATAAAAATAAGAGCCCCTTGATTGCTGAACCATATTTGAGGGAGGCATGGTATCATACTACATTCCTGGCCAGGACTCTGTACCCCTCACCAGGAACAGAAAAGACAGATATTTCAGCTTACAAAGTTTCATTCAGATTTAGGTATCCACCATCAACGTATCTATGACTTGCAGCCAAGAGAATCACAATAGACGGTCTGCCCTGAGGTCTGTCTGTCTGTCTATCTGTCTGTCTGTCTCTATCTTTCTTCCTTCACACAGGGACTGATCCCACTTATTGTTCACTAAAACATAAACAGAGAGGCAATAAAATAACTCTGCAGATTTGCTGTTTTGGAGTTAGAGCACAATCTGGAGAAACAAAGGTCCAGAATAATGCTACAAACCTTGATTTTTTAGCATCTTGCATCGCTAACCCTCTAATATTTGATTTTGATTATTTATTTATTCCCTTTATATCCCACCCTTCCTCCCAAAGGAGCCCAGGGGCAGCAGACAACAAGTGATAAAACAATAAATAGTAATATTAATAATAAAAACAATTCCAGTCCATATACAGACTGGGAAAGAGAACAACTTTAAAGTCTTGTTAAAGGAGGAAGGTCTTCAGTAGTCACTGAAAAGACAATAGTGACAGCAGCTGTGTTATATTCCAGAGGGGAGAATTCCAAGTGGTAGGTGCCACAATGCCAAAGACCCAATTCCTACATTGTGCAGGACAGATCTCCTGATGGCATCTGCAGGAGGCTCTCAGCTGCAGCACAGTGATCAATTATGTTTATAAAGAGATGAGACCATTTTCGGATATCCTGGTCCCAAGCTGTATTGAGCTTTATTCACAAAAATCCAGCACCTTGAACATAGCCCAGTAGCTAACAGCAGGGTAATGAATTGGCAATATCGTGCCCTAGAAGATGCTTGGGAAATTGATCTTTCCAAATCTTTCTGCAAAATGACCTGCTAACTCCTGGGCTAATGCCTTGACTACAGATTGGAGTTAAGGAGGAAAGAGTCTAATCATGACCTTGGGGTTGGATAGCATGCTGAGCCAAACTTTGGCCTAGATACTGCACCATATTGCACTAAAGGGACTGGGGAGAAGCACAGAGGGTGTGAGCTGCTCTCTAGGATCCAACTCATTCATGCAATCCATCCAAGTAAACCATAATTTGGTTTACCATGATGTTCAGATCAGGCCATAATCTGATTCCCCATCTGTAGTACCAATTTCCTTGGTCTTGGGAGACCAAAGCATGTGCATCGATTTACAATGCAAATCGGGTGGCTTTGAACACACTACTAAAGGTTTTTTTTTTTTTTTAGTTTTTTCAGCCATGTGTAGTGGCTTTGAGAAAAGAGTCTGACTCACATGGTAAGCTGCTGCCATTGAACAGTTCCCCATGCAGCCACACAACCACCGTGTGGAGCTATACAGCATGATAAAAATCACTGATTAGCCTGACACTGCTGAAATATAGTTTCACATATAAGAACTGACAACATGATGCAATAACCTCGACGAAATGAAACCAGTCTGGGTCTGGTCACTGCCTATAAGAGAGACCATCTTGAAATTTCTCATAATCCATGGAGGATAGGTGAGTTAGAAATTGAATTAATGAGAATATACAAGGTGCTTGCTCCCAGGGCCGTGTCAAAACAAGGGCTAAATTTTAAAGGTGACCTCACTTTTCTAGTGTCGTCTTTGGACCAATAGTCAGTAAAACTCTAACACTGGAAAAGTAAATGTTAGTTGCTAACCAGATGAAAGTTGCCTTCATTCTTGGGTTGATTATTCCTTCTCTCTCAGCAGGTCTATCAACGATGAGCTGGAGGTGAGCTTCAAATGATCAGTCAGCAGCTACCAAGCTTTTCCAAGCTTCCCCCTGCACCTCGCATTTTGAAATAGCAGTTTTTCCTGCATCGTGATTTTTGCATAGTGCGTGCGCACACACCTACACATCGTGATTCGTGATATATTGCCAGGTCAAAAATGATGAAACCAATTTCATGCTATGGACTTAAAACTGGATTTGGACAGTATATCGATATATCACCCAGCCCTATTCATGTAGCAGAATCAGTGCAGTTTGTGTGCATTTCGCTGCACTGCACACGAACAAGCCTGTTGTGTGAATACACTTTGTAATCAGTTGTGAGAGTGGCTAGATGTCAATACTCTGTAGAACACCACCAAGAGGAAGGGCTGTAGCCTTGTTTTCAAAGGGTCCCAGATTCAATATGTGGCATCAGCAGGGGATTGTCTGAAACCCTGGGAAGCAACTGCCAGTCAGTGTGGACAATATTGAGGTTGATGGCTCAATTGTCTGATGCAGAATAAGGCAGCTTCCTTTGTAGGAAATGTCCAGCAGTGGATGTACACATCAGAGAAAGCTATGATCCATTAGCGAATCCCGTCCTATGGAATATACGAAAGAGATTGTTTTTTGTGTTCAGAAATGCCGCTTGGCCCTATACGTTGTTGTGGAATATTCCCACAAATCCTTTTGGAAGTTCAGCCTGTTTCAGCCAGCAGAGAACACAGCAAGAAGGGACAGGTCAGCTCTCACCCTAGAGAACAACCAATGCGTCAACTCAGGAGCTATTTTTATAGCAACTTGTTCTATAAATAAGCTCACAAAGAATTGCCAAAGGAAACGAAAGCCCCCACAGCACTTCTCAAGAGAATGTCTCTGGGGGAAGGGCTGGGCAGGAGGAGAAGGGTAAAGACAGACAGGTTCCGTTGTTTACTGTAGAGTGTTATTGCAATGTGCCTTGGCAGAATCAGATCAAAAGTGTGAAGTACAATGGGCAAAAAAAGGGGTCAAGTATAAGCTCTGGTATTCCGACATCCCTGCAGATAAGAAGAGAAAGCTTATCCAGATATTCACTTCCTAGCAATCTCTCCATCTTTGAAATCATGTCCAGCAAGAGCACTATATTTGTTAGAAAGTCATGACCTTTCTTGTTTATATCAAAAGAAAGACGCGTTCAATAAATCGTTCCTATTCTTTCCCCCAAAAGTTACTGTCGGTGTCCTCAGCTGTTATTGTGGAGAGTTATTTGCCAGTTTCCCTGCACTGAATCTCTGAAAGTAAAAGTATTCAACCTCCAAGAACTATTACTGCAACTGCACTATGGGGCCTACTCTTATTTTATTTTTAAGTATGCATGATTCTTTGAACTGGGATAAAAACTGAGTTTTGTGCATGCAACATTAATCTTGAAACCTTAATATTCACATTGTAGCTAGTCTAACACAACCCAATGTGTAGTTCACATAACATTTCCACCTTATTTTCTTTAAATGTTTTTTTAAAAAGAATAGCTTTGTTCCTCCCCCCCCCCCAAATCTGCATTATGTAGGACTATTGATAATAATAAATAATTGGAAGTAGTGATCAGCCCAAAGCATAAAGGTCAAAGCACAAACAATTGTCTACCTGCTCCGGGGCATTGTGCTAACGTGGGCGAACTATACATTCCCCCCATATCATTGGTAGTAGCAGTTGTTCTGGGTGCCACAATTTAAGAAGGATATTGACAAGCTGGAACGTGTGCAGAGGAGGGCAACCAAGATGATCAAGGGTCTGGAAACTAAGCCTTACGAAGATCACTTGAAGGAGCTGGGTATGTTTCGCTAGGAAAAGAGGAGACTGAAAGGAGATATGGTAGCCATGTTTAAATATCTAAAGGGATGTCAGAGGGAAGATGGAGCAAGCTTGTTTTGTCCTGCTCTGGAGGGTAGAACTCAAACCAATGGCTTCAAGTTACAAGAAAGAAGATTCTGACTAAACATCAGGAAGAACTTTCTGACAGTAAGGGCTGTTCAACATTGGAACAGTGTCCCTCGGGAGATTGGGAACTCTTCTTCACTGGAAGTTTTTTAGCATAGGTTGGATGGCCATCTGTCACAAATGCTTTAGCTGAAAGTCCTGCATAACGGGGGGTTGTACTAGATGACCCTTTGGGTCCCTTACAACTCTACAGTTCTATGGTAGCTGCTGGGGATGAATCTGTTTCAAGCTCTGTCTGCAATAACTCTTGTGGTGGGAGCCTTTTTTTTTAGGACATACATCCTTTTAAAGTGAAGCTCTTGTCATTAAAATACACGAAATTATATGGGTCTATAATGTATGGAAGTGAGAGCTGGACCATAAAGAAGGCTGATCGCCGAAGAATTGGTGCTTTTGAATTATGGTGCTGGAGGAGACTCTTGAGAGTCCCATGGACTGCAAGAAGATCAAACATATCCATTCTTAAGGAAATCAGCCCTGAGTGCTCACTGGAAGGACAGATCGTGAAGCTGAGACTCCAAAACTTTGGCCACCTCATGAGAAGAGAAGACTCCCTGGAAAAGACCCTGATGTTCGGAAAGATGGAGGACACAAGGAGAAGGGGACGACAGAGGACGAGATGGTTGGACAGTGTTCTTGAAGCTACAAACATGAGTCTGACCAAACTGCGGGAGGCAGTGGAAGACAGGAGTGCCTGGCATGCTCTGGTCCATGGGGTCACAAAGAGTTGGACACAACTAAACAACTAAACAACAACAACATGATTCCTGCTCAATTCCTGGCTTCAGCTACATCAAGAAGGGCTAGAAAATATTGACATTTCATTGGATGCCACAATTTGACACCCACCACCCCTTTCATTCTAAGCAGAAGAGGGAGGCAAAATGTCTGCTGCCCCTTCTCAACAACAGATGCAAGGAACATTTGTCCCTTCAGATGTTGCTGAACTACAACTCCCAGAAGTCCCAGAAGGTATCATCAATGGCCTGGGATCATGGAGTTATAGTTCAGGAACATCTGGAGGCACAAAAGTTTTCCACAGCTGCCCTGGAACCTGCCAGGGGAATTCGCCCGCATGTAAGTTGTCACTGCAGTATTGTGACCTGCTAACCACTATTTCGTTCTACAAATGATCTAACATTGTTGTTATTATTATTAATGTGAATACTCTGTCCTTAAACAGGTTTCAGAGTTAGCTCATAAAAAGTTACAAAACCTATTAAAGCAAAGCAATTAAATGGCTACAATATAAAAGAGTACTAGGAAATCGGTCAGTAAATATAACCCTTTTTTGACAGACTGTAATGAAGAAATACCACATGAAATGGAATTTGCAACTTTTGTTTTACCTGATTGATCGAATTACATTAAACAACAGGACTAGTAATGTGCTGCAGGGCCCTTCATTGATGAACAGGAATCGGATGGAACACTGTGAGGGCAAAATAAACAAGATTAGTTCATAGGACTTCAAGACATAATGACTCACACATTCAGGAAGGGTCTGCTGACAATATATTTTGGAACAATTGGGTAGTAGGAAGGAAGCATGAGTGGGTGGAAGAGAAGTGGCTGATACTCATATGACTCTCTCTCTCTCTCTCTCTCTCTCTCTCTCTCTCACACACACACACACACACACACAAAGTCACTGATGTAGAACATAAAGGTGTTAAACAACTTTTCTAGCAATGTTTCCAAATGATTTAAAAAAGAAAAATGCAACGATTGCCAAGTTTCTTTGCTAATGTTTCAGTACCATGGAAATTTTCACAGCATTAATTTTGCTGTTTTCTGCTACTGGAAAAAAATGTGATTACCCTGATCTCCAAGAAAGTGCAAGTGTTCCATTTGTCTGTGCCCTGTAGCTAAGTGGGTACACTAGCATCACACCCGTGGCACTTATTGGACAGTTCCTGTAATGTCACTTCTCATGTGCTACAACTCCCCCTTCATTCCCATGCTATTTTTAAAACTCCGTTTCTTTCCTTATTAGTTTTTGGGAGTGTTTGTGTGTGGTGGGGTGTTTGTGTGCATGTCCATATATAGGAATAGCTTATCTGATGACGTCGTTCCACTTCTTAGTTGTTCTGATTATTTTATCATTTGTGTGTTTGCCACCCTTTGGCTCCTTTGGGAGTAAGGACAAGGTACAAAACAAGCAAATAACTATTATCAGATAAAACATGTATAAAAATTTGTGCATGTGTGTTCTTTCCAAATACGTAAATATGCATGTGGATTTTTAGGGTGACATCCAGTTGTGCCCAGCTGTGAACGGAATGGGCTTCTGCTCATGCAGAGTAACTTGTCCTTTCTCTCTTCCCTTTCACGGCTCCTTGCATGGATACCAAATCAGCTTTGGAGGGCTGGGGGCTCTCTGGGGCAGATTTGGGAGCACAGGGGCTGTGGGGGGGGGGGAGAGGAAGGGCAACTCCCATCACCCATATTTTGAGATTAAAAAAAAATCCTTGAAAGTGATGGAATTATATGGGTAAAAGCCAGCAAAAGTGATACAGACTTGAAAGAGATGGCTTCATCCATCTCTAATAACTCCCCACTAGAACTACTTAGGAGACTCGTTTAAGGTGAGATGTGGGCAGTCTTCAAAGGACCATGTGGATGGCAGCGTGCAGGTAATTGACAGGGTTAAAAGCACTTAGATCACTGTAAATGATGATGAAATAAAGCAAGCACCAGACTTTTCTTTACAGCAAAATGGTCAAGAGAATCTTGCACTGCTTGGTGCTTTGGGGGGAGGGACCTAGGAATTCTATAACAGTGCAAATTTAGTTTTTAAAGTAGAAAACATGCTAAAAGTCTTGAAAGGTCTGTCCATCATTGTTCTTTTCAGAGGCTTTTAAACAAATGGAGGAGGGGGTGGATTGCTGTTACAAAACATATAGTAAGTGAACTAATGACCTGCTTCTACAGGGAATGCACAGTATTCACAGGCACTTAGGTGTATCTAGATTAACAAATGATAAGGGGGAAAAAAACCCACGAACCATTTACAAAGCCATACTGGTTCTTTGTTTCCAGTTGCAATCATAACCTCATAATTGTGAAGTAGGAAGGGAATAGTGTGAAGCCACAGGGAACCTAAAAGCTTCGTGCCATGTAACTCACCAGCTTGTCTGCAGCCTTTCAGTTCCACTATCTAAGTGCTACGTACTCTAGTTAAAACCTTGTGTTTATCTCCACTGGTCTCCTGTTTTGGGGCCTGGCGTTCATTACTTTTCTTCCCCCCAGAGGGAACCATATGTTAGAATCTAAATGAATAACTAAAGTAAATGATAACAGTTATGCACATTCCAGATCTAGTTAAGTGTAAATGTCTTTTGCGAGTGCTCTCTCCCTCCCCCACCCAGCAAAATAATTCCTGCAGCATTGCCAGGTTTGGTTTTTAGGGTTCACAGCAACGATTGATGGAATGAAGAAGGGAAGGTGGATGAAAATATGGCAGGCAGCTTAAGAAGTGACAATGTGCCTCCTGAGTTATGAGAAGACACAACACTCAGCGACATGCTATTGCAGCATCTCTGATGCACTCATTCCATCTTCCTAGAAAGCAGGCCTTCATGACACTTTCAGCAATCACTGATAACAAATTGTGTTCTCACCTTGTCATGCCCTTTCTCATGTTTTCTTTACAGGCTGGTAGTTCTCTAATTTAGTTTTATTTATATGCATATGAAGGAACCATGCAGTTGCTATAGTTTGCCCTGTTTCCTCCTGGGCAACCCACATCAGTGGGAATCACTGGGAACAGGCATGCAAACTTGACTCCTCATGCTCCAACAACCTTGTCCAAGGCTCTCTCAGACATCTGCTTTCTCTTGTGATTATCGTTATACCTGAAAATGCCTCCCTGAATGCCATTTCTCTTCTTTCCTTCCATCGCTTCTCAGAAGCTATCTTTCCCATGAAACCTCATGACATCCCCCATACTGCATGTTATGTGAGTGGAATTCCCTGATCTGGACTTTGAGCAGTATTCTGCTCAATATGAATCACTATGAATCACTAAGCTCTTCATGCCAAGAAAGATTTTCAAAGTTTTACTGCAAATTATCCTTAAACTTGTTACAAAGAAACCTGTTGTAAACACAAATCAACACATTGCTCTTAAACAACCAGTAATGCAATTCAGTTTTCCTTAAGTTTTTACTTGTCAGTATAGTCCAGGAACTCTCTGGTCCCAGCGAGAGATTCAGATAAACAAGTTGCTTCCTCAGTATACTGGCAACTTTTGAGCGAGACCCAGACTCTCAGGAATGAGCCAATTAATTAGCATAACATTGAAACAAACATTCCACCCTCTTTTTGCAGCTTAACATCTTTTGCACATGCTGCAGGTCAAATGAAAACCTTCATTAAGTTTCATACACAATGCATACAAACATAGCATTTTATGCACATTACATGGCAGGTGTGCTGAACCTTTCCCCTCCAAGCCCTGGGGCTGTGTTCACCCTTGCTCAACTCTCTAGAGACCACATTCCAGTGGGGACAGGAGTTCAGTGCCAAAATGTGGCCAAAGCCACTAGGAGCTATCAATTTCAGTTCCCAGTTTCTCATTTCTGCAATCTTAAATTCCGTTGTCCACATTTTAGCACCAACTTGCAAACTTTTAAAATCAAAATATCCTCATGAAAATCCATCAGATTTTAGTATAAAATTCTACTTATAAACGCATTACTGTAAGCAGTTTCACCTAATATGCACATTTTTGAAAACAATGGTCATGATGATTATGAATCACAGAATCTTTGTTATTATTCTCCTTCCTTCTGATTCGTGGAAGGAGAGATCTCCAAATATTTCAAAAGGACACCAGTAGAGAGCTGAAGCTGTGCATTTCCTTTTTTAAAAAAGGTAATACAAGATACGTGAACTAACATGGCCACAAGTATTTATTCACTGACATACAAAAGGGAGCTGGTTAAATTGCTTCCCAAATTGATATAAGGAGCAACTTGACCCTTCAGCAATGCAGTAAAGAATGCAACACAGTTGTTTCTTCCCACATGTGTAAAGAACTCCTTGGCCCATGGCCTCAGTTATTTCTAATAGATGCCTAAGGATGGCCTTTTGCACACTAAAGGCTTCTAGGGATTTTTAAAAACTTCTTCACAAGAACATAATGAGCGCTCTCCTGGATCAGAGCAAAGGCTGATCTAGTCCACCATTCTCTTCTCTACGTTGCCAATCAGATTATTCTAGAACTCCCCGCAAGCTTCACACAAGCACAACATCACGCTCCCCATCTTGGATGCAAGAATGGAGTAAGCTGCGTGACATAAAGATTTTAGTTACCTCTCTGTTTGGATGTGGATAACACAGCTGTGAGCTGAAGACAAGAGACTGCTCAGCATGCGGTTCAACAAATGTAGGTGAAACGCCGTCATTACACCATCGCAGTCAGACTGAGGGTTGTGTTTGCTGTGGAATGGTGCTGTAAATAGGTGAAGTGGAATAATCTCTAAATGAAGAAATCCGAGAAAATTAGAATTCTGCCTGGGGTGATACCTGACAGCCAGGAGGAAAGTTAAGTCAATCATGTCACTTGCTTCAACACAGTGGGAGCTCGGGGTGAAAACATTATGAATGGGTGAAACCTCATTTTGATAGTAAAATCTACACACATGAAGCTTGCTGTGTTGAATGCATCATATTGGATTTGGTTAGCAAACTGCGTTACAGATCATGAGTCAAATAGGGAAGATGGGGCTGGAATGCCACCATTTTTTTACCTGAGTGGTGGTGGTTTGCTCAAAGGTGAAGAAGAATATGTTCAGACATCTACCTAGCCTGGATGATCCTTTCATGTAGCAGTAAAATGGATAGGACACACACTCTTCTTTCTGCCTAAATTTGCCATATTCCAGCTCTGCATATCTAGACAGGTTAATTTCCATATTATACAATTTTGTCAATTATGCAAATCAAGTTGTGGGTTGGGAAATGGCTGAGCACCCCCCTGTTGATTTTCCACAATAGCAAACCATTGTGCCTTTCTTACATGTTGCATGGCAAAGTATTATTTAAGCCTCAGAAGTGAAATAAAAACAAATGCTACTTTAAATTGTAACAAACCTAAGGATGAGTAAGCAGGACTTACTTTTGTGTATAAGATTGCACTGTTATTCTAATAAAGGAACCCTCAACTCATGTGCATATGCACCAGCATATACAACTCAGATCAAAACTTCATTAGCTTACCACGCAATTGTTTGATAACACTGTTTTGCCTTCCTTCCTTCCTCTTCCCACAGCCCACTCGTTTTATATGTGAAAACATATGTGGGGCATGACTGAATATGGTCATGTGTCAGAGGAAGGGGTCTCTTGAAAAGCATGCTTGAATGTGGAACAGAAAATGATGAGATAAGTGTTATACAATGCTAAATAAGAAGCCTGTGCATAGTTCTTTGAAACTGGTTCTGTCCCTGCTCAGATTTGTACACTATTGGAAATTCTAAGCTGTCAGTTGCCTTGCAAATCCATGTTACCTTCCCATTTTCTCTCCCCGTTGGTCAAGTTTTGGTGTTGAAACATGCTTCATGTGTGGGAACAAGCTGACTTGGAACATAGTCTACCCCCTAGTAAGCAACAGTAATGCAACCAACCAGAGGTCAGGTGAGTGGCAGTGTTGCACCACACTGTCCGCTACTGATTAGAATCCAAAAAAAGTGTCCAGAAACAAGGTGGAACAGATGGTGATGATTCCACTCATGAAATAGCCACATGGTTTATGGAGTAAAACATAAGAACAGTGTCATCCAATAAAATGAAACAAATCATATCAATAAAAGCTGCAATCCCATTAAAATAGCAGTAAAATCAGCACAGTGAAACAAAAGCAGTCTTAAATGAATAAATAAAACCTCAGAAAAAGGAGGATCTCCAATTCTTTTGGAGCAAAGAGGAGGCTAAAACAAACTCTCTCAGGTTTCAGTTCACTGGGGCTGCCACAGCAAAAGCCCTGCTCCTTGTGGAGGCTAATCTGCTTCCAATATATGATGGAATCTGCGGCAATGTCACCTCAAAAGATCGTAAATGCTGAGGGATGGGTGGGCATGCCTGGGAATAATCAAAGATAAGACAAATCCATCACTTTGAATTTGGCTAGAATTTAGTGTAGGACCTGATAGGGCACAACACTAAATCCCAACTCTCTATATAGCAATGTGTTTTGGTTTCTTATGTAAAAGATAGATGGTGTAACCAGCAGCCATCAATACTGCAAAGACACCGCTTGCTAATTTCGCTCTGGCATCAGTGGCAGTCTGGAATGAACGCTTACTATATAAACTGGAGCACACAGTAAACTATTAATGGGACAGTGGTGAGGAAATGAAAGAAGAATGCTAAAGCATGAAACCACTGAGATGATGACGTTTGCAGTTCACAACTGTGCCCCAAGCAAGCCTCTTGGAAATATTTGCAAGCAGCCTGTGCACTCTACTGCTTTCCCAATGTATCACTGCAGGCAGAAATAAATATTGATTGATTGATTGATTGCATGATCGGTGTGCATGGTGCTTTATACAAGAGGACAATCATGGACCATTTGCCAGCCCACCTGAGCTACACTTCATTCAAGCACCAAGATATCTATGGCTGACAAATGGAACTGAAAAGGTGCTGAACGGCTAAAAGTAACATTTTAAGACAGCAGCCTTTCATCTCCATCTTTCTCTCCTCTGCCTGCCTGCCTATAGTTATATATACTATAATATAAGCAGTGCTTTTTTTCCTGGTGGGACGCAGGGGTACGCATACCCCTAAACACTTTGTGAATCTAAGTTTGGCCTCCTTGGGGGCAGTATTTCAATATGAGTAGGAAAACGAGAGTACCCCTAAACATTTTAATTTTTTTTAGAAAAAAACCTGAATATAAGTGTTTGGGTTTGAGCAGACATGAGGAACAGGGTCCAGAAGCCACTTTGCCGTGTGTTATATAACTTTGGGTAACTTTCCCTGCAAATGTTTCAGGGTCCTTTAGCCCTTCTCCATCTACTACCAATTCACGAAGCGTAAGTAAAAGTAGCCCTATATAAACAACACAGATGGAAGTGATGCTAACGGTACAATGTCAGCAGTATCCACAGATTGACAGCATGAGTTATGTTGCCAGATGCACAGAATGTTGCACTACTTGTTCTTTATAAACGAGACTTGATGGAGTATGTCAATGTCAAACTCCTTGCTGATTTACACACGAACATACAGAGACAGGCACACTGACAGTCACTTACGTTCCTGTGATCTATATCAGCTATACCATCTGCTTTCTGCTTTGCATGTGGTAGCGAACTAACTATCCTACTGTGCATGGTTATCACAGATTACATGCTGTGGAAGTAAGCGACAACAGTGTTCTCTCCCTCCCCTTATTCTACTCTCTTTTCCCCTATTTTAGTGTTAGAAAACAAGCTGTTTATCATCTATCATCCATGATGTACATATATTTGACATGTATTTCTGAAACTTGATTTTTGGTTTTTCCCCTGTTGTTTTTTTTTGCTGTTGCCTTTGCCAGTGCAGCTTATTCACACTGATCAGACAAGGAATTTCAATCTGTGCTTAACAGAAATTCCCTGGCTTCTAGCACAGCTCCTCTATCAATTTCTGCACACCCTGATGAAGCTCTTTTAAAAAAAGAAACCACATTTAATACAGCTCCTCTATCCTCCACAAAGAGACAATTTGCACAACTGCATTTTCATCTTTGGGAAGAATAAGAATAAGAATAATTGCAGTCACCTCATCAGGGCTGGCTCCAGGTTCCTACCAGATGTGAGGAGTCAGCAGGGCATGCTGGAAGAGGAAAACAATAGAAGTAGTAGTAGTAGCAGCAGTGGCAGCAGCTATGATCTTTTGTTGAGCGCCAGGTGGCCACCATTGCAATTAGAGGGGAGGGGTTGTGAGCGGGAGCCGGTTCCCGCATATACAGGGGGCGTTCCTGCTCCCTGCTTCTGTTACCTGACCGCCATGCTGCACTCCCTGCAGCCAGCCAATCGGTCTGGCCTGGGGGTGGGGTTTAGCTGCACTCTAGCGGTGGCAGTGGCACTGCCCACTCATTTGGTCCCAGGAGGTTAGGCACTGGAATATGTGTGGTATTGTTTGAGGGCAGGTTGTGGCCAGCACCTACCCCTTCCCTTTTGGGTATTACTTTAAAGGGATCTGGTGGTCATGGATCCTGTCTGATGCCCTGCTGGTGGCTAGGGCCATGGCATAACCCCCGGTGATGTCAGGGGAAGCTTCCAGTTGTATTTGCATCAACAAGCTCCTCCCACTAGTTGTTAACCCACTAATGACTCCTGCAGAGCAGGGTCGAGTCATGTAGATATCGTTTCATCCAATGCCTAAGCCAATACCACTCACATGCTGTAACCAATAAAGTGGTGGCCTTATTTAGCCCATTAACCTAAAATACATGTGTCCTTGTGTCTTATTTATCTCCAAGCGGGTGGCGGGTCCTCGATTCACAACCCACAATGCACTAGAACTGTATAGCATTAATCTGGGGCATTCCAGGTAACTGCAATGACAGCAGGTTGACACTGAAAAGGAAGTCCAGGGCAGCAGCAGCAGCAGCCACAGCTGTAGTGGGTTCTTTGCACCTGCCTGAAGTTGCCTTCTGCCAGCAGCCTGCACCTCACAATAAGGCTCACATGAAGATCAGTCTTCCTCCCAATGCACAGCACACCCATCATGCCTTAACTCTCCGTACCAATAGACTTGGATCCAGTCAGACCATACTACAAACTGCTTTGATCTATGAGTCTTCACATGTATCAAAAGCAACTCAAAGTTCTACTGGAATATTTCACATAATGCTTAATTTGAAACAGGGCTCACATTTAAACAGATTTCTATGGCCAGACTGAGCCTTACACAGGAACATAAGAACATAAGAAGGACCTGCCAGTGGCCCATTTAGTCCGGCATCCTGGTTTCACAGTGGCCAACCAGATGCCGGCAAGCTGGAAATTAGCACAACAGCACTCTGCCCACCTGCCATTCCCAGCAATTCATATTCCGAAGCATCTCAACATTTGTAAAATAATGCCCTGTTCCCAATTGCCATAATACCCTGCTTCCAAAGTATGATCTGAAGGCACGTAAAGGCATCACCTTGGTGATGCTAAGTGGGTCTGGTCAGTTCCCGGATGGAAGATCTCCTGCATACCACATGTATGCCCCCTAGGGGTTCCATGATGGAAGAAAGGTGGGAGAGAAATGTAAGGAAATAAAAATAGTAACAATGAGATTCCCCACAGATCAACCATTTGGAAGCAAAAGTTCAAATGCAGAAGGTATGAATTTCCTGCAGCCCTAAGCCCCATCATGTTTCATGTTAGATATTAAAGCCTTACTTCAAAGGAATGAAATGGAAAAATGTTTACTTTTTGCCTCTGTTGCTGTCAAAGGCTTCCCAGAACCGCCTCCCCCCTTTTTCGCATGAAAGTCCAAGTTGAATAAAATACATAGAGACAGGTGGGGCAGGATTGGTGGGATTGTGTCCCCTGGTCCTAACCCCCTCTTCCCCACACTCATGTGTAGACAAAGCAGTGTTCAAAGCCTACCAATGCACAAACTGGGTGTGCATCGACTTTGTCCACATGGAAAGGGTCTGGGCTGGAAGTCTGAAAAGTTGAAATCTTCAGTTGATATTCTAAGAGGGGAGGTGGTTGAACCCCCTCCCCTCTTTAATATTGGTGGGGGGCAGGGAGAATTTTGGGTCTGGAGGAGAGACAAGCCTCAGTAGCATTCCTTCTGCTCCTTGAACTGCTGGAGACATTTTATCCCAATACGCCTCTTAGAAAAAATGCTACTCCACTGCCTTTTTCACATGTTATACCTGCGAAGGAATATCACATGATTAAGGGGGAAGCAGGGCAGTGCTTCTGCCCCGACTCCTGGCACTGCACATTTCCCCAGACCTTCTCCCACATCCACGCTTTGCATATGGATCTCTGAAAAGGAAAAGGAAGCCCTGGGCATCTGCTTGCATGCCAGTTTCTTCTTTCACATATCAGTGATCTCAGCCTACAGGTGTCAGGTGGGAGAGCAAATAATGTGGCCTGACTATACAATAATATCTAAGTCAAAGGCAACAAGGATTTTGAATACTAGTTGCAGGAAACTGCAGGAGGGGAGCATGTGCTTGCACTGAACCCCACTTGAGGGTTTCTCACAGGCAACTGGGTGAGAACAGGATAATGAATTAGATGGGCCATTGGCCAAATCCTGCAGATTCTTCTTAATATGTTCTCACCATTTCCAGCATTGCTTGGGATTACTTCTTTACCATGAAACAACACAGAGGCAAAGTCTTACGTGATACCTGTGTCAGGTGACTCCCAGCCGTTAGGCAGGGTGTTGTGTCCTATTAATGCAAATCCACCCAAATTGCCTGACCAAAAATGAAAACAATCATATTTGAAAGAAGGGCCTCCAGTGTTTCGGCACCTATATTTTACTATTTTTAATCACTAATGTGCAACAAGAAGCTTTTTATCACGTACAGGGAACTCATTCTTTTTCATTTGGTGACAACAGAAGATGGCACATGTAAATGAGCTCTTCAGTTTCAAGTAGGGTTCAGCTCCTGTAACAAACGCATTTTAAAAATTATTTTTGATGGACAGACCCTGTGCATGTGTCTTTTGAAATGTCTTTGTCTAACATCACTATCGGCTCTGGGGGAAGAATATCACAAGACAGGAACAGCGCTGGAAGGGACAGAAAGCTGACCTAGCGACAGCCAGCGCCTAAGGTCTCTTTCTGACCTATTTCCTTGTCTGGCACCTGTCCTTATGAAATCTCTCTCGGAAGATCTAAGGAAATTACACTTATCCTCTGGTAACTAGGTAACATAATCTCCCAAAGGCTAGCTAATTGCAGCCCATGATAACTTCACATACTCTGCAACTGTTAAATTTTTCATTTCTTTCAAATTATTGTGGATCAGTGGAGAGGGTATTGATTTGATTCATTAACCGATTCCCAGTCTGTTCCAAGGTTAATGATTGCATGTATCTCAATTACATCTTTAACAGGTTATACTCTATGATTTGTTTCAGCTGCATTTGTACATGGCGTATGGTCCACACCTGAAAGCCTTCTTAGCACTTGATGATTTAACAAGGCATTTTCTTTTTTCCCATTATGCTGTGCATGCCTAGAAAGAGAAGAAAACTCTTTGGGAAACACTGTAGAAAGGAAGCTTTTGTCCAAATCTTGAATGAACATGCAGGGCACACAGTTAGAATAACACCCTTTATAAGGGCAGATGGATACAAGGAGAACATTTGCAGATGGTCAGTATTGCAAATGAATTCCGATTAAGCTGAATGGGGTAGCTTTTTTCTTTCTGCTTATAGTTGCAATTCAAGCTTTGATGCCTGAGGAGCCGCATGCCCATAATTAAGGAATACGTTTGGTGTGCAGATGATGTCTTAAGCCTTTGATCTCAACAGTGTACTGTGGTGGTCTATTCCTTATGTATGGGCAGGGTCTAAGCAAAATGAGAAGTTAATATACCTTCCCTTTTGACTAGACTTTCATTCATTTTAAAACCACCTGGAATTTTATATTCCAAATAAATAAATAAATCCCAGTGAGTCCAATGGAATTTACTCCAAGGATTGTATGCGAACCTATCCATGTTGTCTACTCAGAAGTAAATGCCATTGCAACCCAAATTTCATATCCTAAAGCAAAGTCCAAGTTAAGAAACACATCTTAATGCCCCTTTTGTTGCTCTTACTTGTAGGTGATATTGCCTAGAGGTAGTTATGCTATTAACAGAAAAAGAGTACTTCCAGCTTTCTCTCCTCCCCACCTCCCTTTGCTTTTCTTTAGAAGCCCAAGATACTGTAGTTTAGTTTAGTAACTAGGAAGCCAAATGAGTATAGTCAAGAGGAAAGACTTCAGTTATACAATCCATTAAGTAAAACAATAGAGCCTGCAGCTGAGCTATTAAAAAGAGTAGAGCAATTTTTATTTCAATGCCTACATTTTATTTCCTCTTCTGAGTGACTGTTAACAAAGGGCTGCTGAAAGGACTGGATAAAAAGTAGACGTCAGATGCAGGATCCATGAGTTAAACAACATTATTAGATACAATTTCATAAAATCTAGTTGCTTTTCTGCTACCAGAAATCATGTCCTTTTGTCAACTTGTGGTCACATCAGCACTTCTGTTGATATAATTTGCTCCAGCTGCAGAGTGTAGCTGGCCTGCAAATCAAGGACTAGAATAGGGACAGTCAGGAATAACTCAATAGCTTGGATAATGTGCAAATCACTACACATCTTGCTATTAGTATAGTTTATTTTCACTCTGAATATTTGGAGCATGAAAAATTTATCTTTAGCAAAACAGCCGATCTGACACTTTCACAGAGCAGAACAGGGATGCGTAGAATATTAGAGCCCCCTCCCCCCATGACCCCATATCCACACAGCACTTTGTAATCATTTAAGTGGGATTATCATATCAAAACCCTTCATTAAGTTTCATTGAATTGAAACCAAACACCTCATTTTGTATATTGTTTGAGGTCTCTCTGTATCACCGCTTGAATCCCTTTGCACTAACTCATCAAATGCAAAAAGGGGCCATTTTCTATTCCATACTTCTTCTCTTCTGTTTACCCCTTCATGCCCTTTGACCAGAAGTTACACAGTGGGGGTGGGACACACACCATATTACCTTCACAGCAACAATATATTTCAAATGCAAGATGTAAAAGGAGATGGGAAGCTGAATTTAAAAAAAATAAAAATACAGGATTCAGTGGAGCTGAGAAGGAATGTATCAGCATAGTATAGAAATGAAGGTAACTACTTTCAAGAGAAGTTAATACAGCCCTTTCAAATGGGGACCACATGGAGAAAAATTAAATTACATTTAACTTGTTCGCACAGATTATTTTTTAGGAGGAATATTTAAAATATTGTGAACTTAATATGATATTCACATATTACATTACATATTACATTCAATTTATTTGCATGGATTTTTTTTAGAAGGGTTTTTTCCAAATACTGTGTCCTTAATATGATATTCACGTCACTCAATCACGCATTGATTCACAGGGTGGAAGACATGTTACTGAGGGGATTTAAAGGAAGGGGTGCTGTATTCCTATAGATTTCTGTGAGGGATAATCAGAGTTTTGTTAATATAATAGGTTGGGATACATTAATGGAGGATTGGCATCTCAATTGCTATACTTGTGATTGCTAGGAATGGACTCCCTTGCTCCAGATGTGATTTCTCTTTACTTACAAGGCACTGGGGACAAATAGCAGGGCAACACATGACCTTCCAGATGTGACTCCATCAGCCCTAACCAATGGGCAGGGTTGATGGAAGTTGCACTACATCAACACTTGGAAGGCAATAGTTCCCCACATCTAGAGTAGTGGACAGCTTCACCAGTTGTCTCCTGCTTACGAGTTACTGTCAGCCAATATAGACCTTTGCTCTGAACCAGCACGTCTCAACTTAGGAAGTGGTTCATAGGTGACAGCCATGTGGAAATTGCACTATACATCCCTTAACCCCTTCCCCCATCCAGGTCCATAGCATTCATATCTCTGCTTGAATTCCCACATACCTCCAACACAGGGACTAGACTAGAAAGCCATATCTGGCACCTACACACATGAACTCACAATCAGAAGTAGTAATTTAAGTTGACCTATGACACTGATGACGTTGTCCACTTAAGCACCTGAAGTGCTGGCAAATCAAGTGAGCAGATATCAAAGGACATGTGGAGAAGCAGTGGCTAGCTGAAGCTCAACCCAGAAGTGAGTTAGAAAGAGTGAGGAGGAAGGTTAGGCTCGTTGTCTAATAATTTGCTCAACAGCCATTAGGGCACTGTTCCATCTTTAGATTGCACTTGTTTTGTGAGGTCTATAAATACTAATCCTCCCTCGGAGAACAATAATAAATACCCAATTCAAAGATATGAATGGGCTTAATTAAGCAATCAGGCTGCATCCAGGCCTAATCAGCTTCAGAGTATAGTTTTGTGGCACACTGTTTATTCAAGGCCTTCCTACAATGGCACAGGAACTTCCTACAATGGCACAGGAACACATGGTGTGCTTCTCATGGACACATGGCAAAAGGGGACATATGCATCACACAGGGAGGAAGGCAAGAGAAAGCAAGGAGCAAGTTTTTATTGGTTATTGCCCTTTTTGCTTAGTTAGGAGAGTGCTTTGTGCCAAGTTAGCATAATGGTTGCATTTGTAAGTATCTGATGCTATCTAGTAGGTTAGATATTGATGGTTTTGTAAAAAGCTTCTAGGATCCAATACATCGGCTACACAGGGCTGCAAATACTAATAGTACACACCGTTTTATATTATTGGCAGCAAAAGGAGGAGGGGATCGTGGGGGAACTTGATTCAACTCACATTTAAAGGCAAACATATCCAAGTTGCACGTTCCCAAAAAAATATGTAAACCAAAACACAGCCTCCTGTTGAACTTCACAGTTATCCGAATTTTGCGATGCAGTTCTCCAGCCAGGAAATGTATTCCAAAATGTGTATGCTGGGGTAAAGCCATAAAAATGGACATAAAACAAGAAACAACATGCACACATCCAGTACATTAGGAGAAAAAAATTGCAAAACTGCAGATTGGGCAGAATTGCATACAAAAGTGTGGATAAATTCACACTAAAATGATGATATATTTTCAGGTGGATTTGCCACCCCCCCCCAAGCAAACTGACGTGGAAATGTGGATAACTGAATGAAAAAAATGAGAAACTGAGAAAAATGAAATCGTCAGATTCATTCACCCCTAAATGGAACTGAATCTTATTATGATGGAGGTTTCTAATCAGCAAGTTTCTTCACCTGTGCAACAATTTGGGGGTGTCTAGACCAGGTGATAGATAATGGTTGATGCTTTAAATGATAAAGCTTTTTAAACCCTATTCCCAGATTATTCTTTTGACATTCATTTTTGAAAATAAGAACAAGAAATACACATGTTTTCATGGTGGACTTAAAAAAAAAACCATGCCTCTACTCTGAATGAAACTTAGTTGAATACCAACCACTGAATCCAGTCAAGATGGAGGTGTTGTGTGTTCCAGGTTCTTGGGTCTGGGAAACAAAATTACTGCCTGTTCTAGATGGAGTTTGTACTCCCCGAAGGAGCAAATGTATAACAATGCATTTATTTCTGAAGTCATATTTCACTGGCATTGGGCTGCTTCTGGTGGCAGATAAAGTCACACGTATTTGTCCATGTTTTTGGAAAAGTGGGGTGAGACTATGTCTCAGTTGATTTAATCTCTTTTGTAGGGGCAGAGAATCTTCTTCCCATGGGCCATGGGAACAATTTGCTGGAACAATGGGTGCTTCCAACCACTGATGGGTGGTAGGCATGTGTCTTGCTCAAGGAGACGAGGGAGAGGTTCCTATTCCATGGAACCCACTTCTCCTTCCCACTGCTGCTCTTTGAAGCTGCCCCATGCAGCCCCTTTCCACCTCTGACGTAGGAAGTGGAAAGGAGCTTTAAAAGCCCTTTGCCGTCCTCCCTACATACTCCTTCCAACATCAGGGACAAGAAGGAGGGCAACATGCACTTGGGAGGATTGCAAAATGCTCTGTAATTCTCCCCATGTTCTCCTTTGCATCTCTGACATTTGAGGTGCAAAGCAGAAGCTCAAGTAAGATAACAAAACCCTTTAGCCTGCTCCTCCTTTCAACCAACAGTGTCATAGGTTGGAAGTATCACCATGGGGTGGGCTTTGCAAGCATTCCTGCGCTCCCACTTTCAACCTTCAATGTTGCAGACTAAAAAGGGAGGAGCATGGGGAAGGACTGACATCCCCAACCTGTGGGGGTGATACCTGATTTTGTCCACCACCACCACTAGTGCAGAAAGCGAGAGAAGGAAGCTTGCATTTTGGAAACTACCAAATACATTATTCATCTCACTATTGGCTAAATAATGATTATGTAAGTTGGGAGGACACACGTATTATTTGCAGATTTAAAGCAACCGCAACAGCAAAACCTGATCATATTCACTAGATCGATTTCATTTCAGTGCATGAGATGAAGAAGAAATTTCTGGCCCTGTTTCTGTTTTCATCAGAATTCTCTGACAACCCTACTTACAACATTCCTGTACCAAGAACTGGGCAAAGTGTAATTGGTAAAGTGGCTCCCAAAGAGAGAAGATGCATTTCAACTGTACTTTGTGGCCTTTGATTCTGTTTGAGTGTACAAAAAGTCTATGGCTGATCATTGTTAAAGTTTGAATACATTCTTGCAAGCCAGCAAAATGTACAAAGCATGGACAAGCGATGATGTAAACACACATGCTTTGCTGTCCAAAATTATGTATCCACTCTTGTTTGGTCTGTGTCTAGAAATGGCCTGGCAACCAAACTAGCTACATTTTCCCATGGTTTCCTCTTCTAAAAGGAAAATGTTGCCCCCCCCATCCTGCTAAAATTAAAAGAAAAAGATGCTGTATTGGGGAAATAGTTCTCTTTTTGATTCACAATAGCACATCTTTCATTTTCTCCACGAAAGGCCAGTGAGAGGGTATTGATCTAGAAAGTCGCTGACTGTTATGGTTTTCTATGAAGCAAAACTTGAGATTTGGTCAGCTGACACACGCACATAAAGAATCTCTATGAACAGTGAATGAGCAACTGCTGGGATCTGGTTTCGTAAGGTGTAGGACCTGCAGCGCAAAGAGAAATTAATGCTTTTCGATCACCTCAAATTCAAAAGAATCATAGTATGAAAGATGGGAATGAGATTATTGCTAGTTTGCAAGCTGGTCTGCTAGTTTAGGAAATGCTTTTGCTGGCAGTAGGTCTTTCTTGTAAAAGATAATGCTTTGTGCAAAAGGGAAAAAATGCTTTTCATACCTTTTAATTTTATTGCCTTTCCTTCCTGCTTCCTGTAAGCTCATAATAATACAGCAGAGATGTCAGCTGGCCACAAGAATATGCTGGGGAAGAGAGTCACTCTGGTGGGACATTTTTGACGTGCAGAAAAAAAGAAAAGGGAAAACCAGCTCCCAAGTGCCGCAGAACTCTTGGGGCTGAACATAATCACAGAGCTGATGATGAAGGGATCCAGGACAGAAAAGAATTTGGAACCCTTTATGTTATTCCATCAGTTGTTTTGTCTGGTTGAAAGAACTTATCGGATTGTTCTCCCTTTTGTTTTATTTTGCATATGGTTCTCTTCACTCAGTTTATTGGAAACAAAGCGCAGTAGCACAGACAAAGCACCAGAAGGGACAGCACTTGTTCAAACTTTGCAAAAAAGAGAGAGGATCATTTATAAAAATTAGCACTGAAACTTTGGCAGCTGGCCTGCAAGTGGTTTCATCATTCTCTTCTCCCTACTCGATGGTAAAGCTTGGTTCAGTTGCTGGAGAGCAGGCATGGGATACTAGGCGTTCAGATCCGTTTGCAGCTACACAGTTGTCAACGTGCCTTAGTTCTGCTCATCTATGAAATGGATATTATAATTGCCTCATTTTTGTATGCAAAAGATTAATGCATTGAGTTTTGCCTAGCTTCAACAAGGCATTTGTTTTGACAAGACCACCCTAAATTCAAAACACGAAATCAAATGCAAGTGGTAGCATAAGTAGCTCAGGAAACTGGTGGGTTAGGGGAGCTATGTTATTTATCTCTATTGCATTTAACTGCTCACATGACAGGGCGTCTGTGTTGCAATGGTTCAATTTGTTTGGCTGTTAACCAGAAGGTTGGTGGCTTGATTTCACCCAGCGGCAGCTGTGGGCAGGATTTCTGCATTGCAGGGAATTGAACTAGATGACCCTCTGGGTCCCTTCCAATTTTACGATTCTATGATCCTATGAACCATGTATCACAAGTTTCCTTCTTTGGCACTATACTTTTCATGTGAGTAGTCCACTGGCAGTTCCTTCCCAGTTGTCCCTCTTAGTTCTGCTGGACTCTCAGTGATGTTTAATACTATCGATCATGGTATCTTTCTGGACCATCTGACTGAGATAGGCCTCAGATGCACTGTTCATGGAGGTTCCAGTGCTTCCTTGGCAGCTGACACATGGTGCCATGATATTGCCCTCCATACTGTTAAATATCTACATGAAATGTCTGGGAGATATTATCTGGAGATTTGGAGTGTGTTGTCCTGAAGTTGCAGGTGACACCACAGCACTGTTTCTTCCTTTCATCAGATTCCAGGAAAGTGGTTGGTAGGTATTATCTTGGTCGAGCTGTGGAATAGGAATCCACTCTGTTTTGAACAATATTGCACTCCCCTTGAAAAAACAAGTTCCCAGTTGGGGGGTACTTTGGGATCTGTCTCTGCCCATGCACATGAGACATCAACAGAACAACCCTAAACATTGATGGCACTTGTTTCCTTTCAGCTGTGTAAAGGTTGGATTCAGCAGAGTCAGTAGGGACTTGACTTAACTAGAATTATAAAGGGGTGCAGCCAGCCTATGTAAATATTATCACCTTGCTATTTAGAAAATCATCATTTACCTTCTTTTAAATTTTGTTTCACCCAAAACTCATTTCTTATCTGCCTGACCTGCTAGGATACTTACCCTTTCCTTTCTCAGACATCCTGCTTTGGGTGAGTGGAGAAGCTGGAGAAGAAAACTGGGATTTACAGGTATGGGCAGAATAAGATCCTTGATCCTTTGGACTCTCCAATTAGAGCTATGCAGCTCAATCTTAATATGTCTACTCAGAAGTAAGTCCTATGGAATTCAGTGGCACTTACTCCCATGTAAATGGGGTTAGGATTGCAGACTTAAAAGCCTGGATTTCTGGAAGCTTGGAACTTTAATAAATAAACAGCAACATTAGAAACCTCGCTCACAGCTAGCAATTAGCTGCTTTCTTTTTAACCCACATAGGAGAGTCCGATTTTCTTTGAGAGCATTTCTAGAGAACTTGTAGGGTGATATATTTATAGCAGGCATTTAGGGTGTCTCTTACAAAACCATCAGATTAGTGAAATACCCCAAATCACAAAGTCTACTATGTACCTGAAGGAAACATTTATTTGGAAATGTGTACATTTGTATATATTTATACACAAACACTCTTCTTCAAATGGAGTAAGCAGTGGGAAGACATGTATAAATGTGTTTCTTAAACATATTATTCTTTGCATAGGTGTTTCCTCTTATACATCATCTTTCCACATAGATCTGCAACATCTGGGCATGGCTTGTTGCTACATGAATTGACTAGATTAACGTGGTTTCCATGCAGTGCTAAAATGTTGGGTCTTCCTATAGATATCAATCACTGCTATAGAGAATGAAAACATGGTAAAGCAGTACTTCACATGTAATCTGGGTACAATTTTTCAAGCAAATATGTGCAAACCAGACATTCAGGGGAGATCAGTCAAAGAACCAATATGTGTCTGGATATTCGTTCAGGCTTTCCTGAGATACTTTGCTTTTATTCAGGAATATTAATACACAGATAAGGATGGACTGATTAGCCTGTTTCCTGTCCATGGCAAGTCTCTTCTTGTCCCATTTCTACATTGAATTGGAATTAAAAATAAAAAATCTGCAAAAGCAAAAACTGTATTTAAACCGTGTCACAAAATACATGCTTAATATTTTTATCTGAATGTACATATTTCTCAATGTACCTTATTCCAAGGCACACATTTTATGTGCATTTTTTGCACATCACTTGCTTTTTTTTTTAGCCAAGCATGGTATCACAAAATTGGGAAAAGTGAGAAATTCAAAAAATAGTTATTTATCAGTCCACATGTTAGTCTGTGAGGGGTAAAATCAGGGCAGTTCGCATCAGAATTTACCAAAATAGAATTTCTCATGCATTCCTGTGCACAGATTGAGGCTTTGTTCATTATAAATTAGTTTGTCCTATCTTCTGAAATTGCCAGTATGCAATTTTCAGTAATCCTGAAAGAAAATCTTAGACTAGGAGAAGATGGGGGGAGTTGAGTAGTGTTGCGTAGGTGGTTTTGATTAGAGTTGGCAGCAATTTAAAACAAGATGCATCTTCCAGAAGAAAAGACAATTTCATTCAGGGAAAATAATGATAAGACCTTTAAAAAGGGATCAACAAATTAATTGAAAAGGAGTGTTTTTAAGAGGAGAATGGGCAGATATTTTTTTTTAAAAAGACCCAAGTAACAGGCACTTATTCCCACTGAGTTTAATGTGGATTTAAGAGTATAACTGTCTTCTGTGATTGAGAAAATTGCCCCCTGCATTCCAAGCCATTTCAGACTTCACTTGATCTTCCATTTCATCCATTTCAATGCTACAAGGTTGACACGTTATGCTTTTACATTCTTGCTCTGTTATTATTGCATTGCTATGCATGATCGCACTTTTATGGTTTTTGTTGTTGTTACTGTAAGCCACTAAGAGAACTTGTTCATCAGGCAGATGTCAATACTATTGGATATCAAATTTATTAATTAATATGAAAAACTTTTCTTTCTTTCTTTCTTCCTTTTTTCTTTCTTTGCCTCTCCCTACAAAAAATCTACACATTCTTCTGATTATGATGTGGAGGTAGAATTAGAAACTTTTTCAAAATATTTATTTAATTTCTTATTTGATTCTTTTTTCTGTTTCCTTTATAGAGCACATGGTTAAGGTTCACACTAATTCCCACTGACACGGGTGGCACTGTGGTCTAAATCACTGAGCCTCTTGGGCTTGCTGATCGGAAGGTTGACAGTTCGAATCCATGCAATGGGATGAGCTCCTGTTGCTCTGTCCCAGCTTCTGCCAACCTAGCAGTTCAAAAGCACACCAGTGCAGGTAGATAAATAGGTACTGCTGTGGCAGGAAGGTAAATGGAGTTTCCGTGAGCTCTGGTTTCCGTCATGGTGTTCCGTTGTGGCATAAGTGGTTTAGTCATGCTGGCCACATGACCCAGAAAGCTGTCTGTGGACAAACGCCGGCTCTCTCTGCCTGAAAGTGAGATGAGCGCCACCCCCCATAGTCACCTTTGACTGGACCTAACCATCCAGGGGTCATTTACCTTTTACCTTTACAATAATATTAGAAATATATACTATACATTAAGCCCCAGGACCACTAAATATTAGATCAAGCCTGACTCCTCATGTGAACACAGCCTATAACCAATAGGGATGTCAGAAGGCATCCATTTCTTTTCTGATCCATATTCACTACATGCAGAACTACTATATATCTCTTCCACTGCAGCTTCCAACAAAAACTGCATTATCTATACTGTTGTCTACTGCAGCATAATTTTATGTAATTCACTATGTTATCATTTCATTATTCCACACCAATTATTTCAATGAAATGGCCACTGTATGTATGTATGTATGTATGCATGCATGTTTTACAAGTTCATTCACAGAAACATATTCTTGCAAATATTAAAATTTAACACAAGATTCTTTCAAATCCTAGGATTTCCCTCCTCTCCTCTGTGGGTTCTTTGAAAAACTTTTCCAGCTGCATATTATAAGTCCATCCAGTTTACAGTCCTCCATTATATTCAAAGTCAAAATGGCCACTGATTTTAATGCAAGAGGTTGCTGGCAGCTCGGAAGAAGGCCCTCTCTGTGGCAGCCCTAAAGTTGTTGAATTCCTTCCACACAGGGCTGTGCCTTCAGTATACAACTTTCAGTGAATGTTAGGGTTGCATTCACTTGCCCCCCACCCGGGTTGGCCGCTACCGCTGAGCCCGAAATAGAACCAGAACAGCCCACACCAAAGCCCAAGCTCCAGCATGAACCCAAACCGCCCACACACAGTTTTTTAAACCCTCCCCGCAACCCGGCCATTTGCCTACAATTGTAAAAAATCCCCTAGAATGGCATGTAGGCCTCCCCAAACAGGATGTGTCCTGGATTTTCTGGATGTATGGCAACCCTAGGAATGCTGAAGACACATCCCTTAACTCTGGTTTTTGA